CAGACAGGAAATACTCCTTCACTCCACTTTTTTCAAATGCAACTTTTGGTTCCGTGGAATGTCACAGAGAAAGTAACTCTTCTGTTCTTTGTGGGTGGCACCTGAATCTCTTTTCCGAGGCCATCATGGCTACTGACCCAAGTGCAAGTCTACCCTATCCATCCTGCCCCGTTGGGTCCCTTGAGTTTACCTCCCACCTGGCTGGGTCCCTGATGGCAAAACTCTATCTATCTTCAGGGCCTTTCGAAAGAGTAGCAAGGTGGAGGCTAATCTTCTCTTTGCAGGGATGGCGTTCCACAAGAAGTGAGGCCCTTCTTCTTGGTCCTACTAGAACAGACATATCAAACACAAGGCCCGGGGCCTGGATGCAGCCCGCAAAGTGGTTTCATGTGGCCCACGAAGCCATCCTGGAGACAGTGAGGGAACGGCCCCCGCTGCCTTGGCCCTGGCCCAGGCTGGCCGGGAGCCAATGTACAATTTTGTGCTGGCCATCTATGCTGAAACGCATTCAGTCTTAGCTCCACAAGGCCGTCTGGAAACAGCGAGGAACCAGCCCCTGCCGCGTCGACCCCACCAACTGGGTGCATACTGGGGAGGTGTCACTCTTTGTGAGGAATGAAGAAATGCACCATTGCCTGGAAGTGGCCTGCAAATGGCCCTCGCCTACTTCACATATCCAGCTTGATGGGCTCTGCCCCGGTCCCACCCCCTTCTGCCAGAGACCCTCAGATCTGTCCCACTCCTGCCTGGGCCCCCACAGGTACCCTTGACGCGAATGATGTAAAGCTGGCCACGCCCACCCGGTAGGCCACACCCACTCCCTCCACGCCCACCCAGTAGTCCGCACCCACCCTGGCCACACCCACCCTGCCCCCCCCCGAGGGCAACCGTAATGCTGATGCAGCCCTCAATGAAATTGAGTTTGACACCCCTGAACTAGATTGACCTCCTTAAAAGAGAGGACCATAACACCCCCTGCCTCCCTGCTCTGGTGGGTCAGGTAGATGTAACTGGGAAAAAATGATCTTTCGAATAAAAGATCTGATTATGTAAGTTGTGTGAACATAGAACAAATGTAGTTGAAAATATCAGTCACTCAGGTATCGGAGTGATCAAAGAAGGTGATCGATTTAGCTGTAAATGCCCTGTTTTCAGTTATTATTTTCTAAAATAGAGAACTACAAAATCACAATAGCTTGACACAAGGGGTTGGACTAGAAGACCTTTAAGGTCCCTTCCAGCCCTATGATTCTGTGTTGAAGTCTGTAGCACGTTTCTTAACTGTTAGGTCCTTTGTTGTTGGTAACCAATAGTAAAAGGCAGGATTTATCTAGCCTTGAAAGAGCTGCATTATCCATTCTATGGCTGGTTGATGTGTCTGTCCTTAGTTTGATCTACTTTATATTTAATTTTAGTTCCATTTTTTTACTTTGCTCCTTGACTTTCGTTGCTAAAGCTTGTAGATCTTTTGCATTTTCAACTGAATAGAGTCATCGGTATAAAGCCAATTATCACTGTTCCTTGAAACTCTTATGTAAAAATTTATATATAGAAGTATCAAAACCTGTTTTATATATATATAGATATTGCTGTGGAATAATTGTTTTGTTCTTATTGTTCTTTTTCTTTTTTTTCATTTCTTTTTCTTTTTTTCTTTTTTGTTTAATTAAGTCAAGCAAACAAAATGAACAATGAGAATATTGAAAAGGGCGTATCTTACTGTAATTACTGTATGATTATGACTGTGTGTTATATTTATTTTTGTGGGCAATATTATAAGTTATTTATTTATTCGTTTATTTTGATAAATTGTATTTAAAATCTGGAATTCATCCAACCTAAAATAATTTCCATAAATCTTTTATCTAGAAAGAAGTGTGGGGAAAGTCTGACACTGAATTTAGTGTCAGAAACCTTCTTTTAGGGCAGTGGTTCTCAACCTTTTTAATGCCGTGACCCCCAACCGGTCGTAAGTCGAGGACTACTCAACCGGTCGTAAGTCGAGGACTACTCAACTGGTGCAGCACCGTTTGCAGAATGGGACTTTTGGCGGGCTCAGCAGGGCAGAGACAGCCTGGACAATTCCTATTGGCTTTTGAAAGGCCAATAGAATGAGACTCTATTCAAGAGAGTCTATTCGATTGGCTTTCAAAAGCCAATAGAATAAAAGGGAGTAGCACAGCTAAGGAAAAGGGGGAAAAAATGGCGGACAGCCTTGTTTGGTGACCCCCGTGAAATGGTCGTTCGACCCCAAATGGGGTCCCGACCCACAGGTGGAGAACCACTGTTTTAGGGAATGGGGAGATCCAATGTCCTTTAGATTTCTCACTGAGGGTATATCTACACCTGATAACGGTAGCTGACATTTAACTTTGTTTGTTAGTTAAAAACATAATACCAATGAAGGAGAATATTTGAAGCGCAGGGTCGAAAAGAGGGAGCCCTTGGTGCTCTCTGAGCTTGCTGGTTTTCTTGCAGACGTTTCATTACCAAACTAGGCAACATCATCAGTGCTAGAATGGAATGAGATTTGCAGAGAGGAGGAGGAGGAGGAGGAGGAGGAGGAGGAGGAGGAGGAGGAGGAGGAGGAGGAGGAGGAGGAGGAGGAGGACTGTGGGGTCCTGGGTGCTCTCTGAGTTTGCTGGTTTTCTTGCAGACGTTTCATTACCCAAACTAGGTAACATCATCAGTCTAGTAAGGAGTGCTGTTTGCTGTCAGTTTATATTCTGGTTTATATTATATTCACCAGAATATAAACTAACAGCACTCTTTACTGGCACTGATGATGTTACCTAGTTAGGGTAAGGAAACACCTGCAAGAAAACAAGCAAGCTCAGAGAGCACCAGGGACCTCTTACAGACATAATATTTAGCAGGATTTGATAGGCAGTATCCAGTATCAAAACATGACAGACAATGTGGGAGGATGTTTAGCATTTGACAATTCATTGAATGTTCAATAGCTGCTAAAATCAAAACAGTCTGGAGAGGTACTTGCTTTTCAGAGGTCCAGGTGAAAAGAATTTACATTGAGAGAGAGAGAGAGAGAGAGAGAGAGAGAGAGAGAGAGAGAGAGTTTTGAGGCAAGAAACATCGGGATAGGAGAGAGGCTTAAGCCTGACATGCAAGCAAACAAGGAAAAGCCACAATCGCCCCCTTTTGGAAGGAGATCATAGAACCATGGGCTGGAAGGGACCTTGGAGATCTTCTACTCCAAGGTCATGGCGGGAGATCTTATATCATCCCTGACAAATGGTTGTCCAATCTTTTCTTGAAAACCTCCAGTAATGGTGAACCCACAACCAATGAGAAATGATAAAACGAGAAGTCCTAGTCTGCCCCCAGGGGTGGCCAAACCCCACTGCTTTGTGCCATCCTCCTCCTGTTTGCACTTTTCATTGAGTCTTTTCCTAAAAATGTTGCTCACCAGCCTTACGGGATACATTTTGTGAACTCCTTGGAGCAATTGACCAGTTTTCTGAATAAATGAATTCATGTAAGTGTCAGACCTGCCAGCACTGAAACCTCTAAATCAGTGGTGGCAAACCTATGGCACGGGTGCCAGAGGTGGCACTCGGAGGCCTCTTTGTAGGCACACATGCCGTTGCCCCGGCCTAGCCTCCCCCCACGACCCCCTCCTCTCCAGCAGTCCCCCTGAAGGAGAGTCGCCCCTGAAAGTGGACCATGCGAAGCAGCGCAGCCAAAGACATGGCAGCAAGGCAGCATAGACAAGATTCTGACCTCACACCCCATCGTGCCCAGTTGATGCTGCAGGGCGTGGGCAGAGGGTGTGGCCACCATAGCGCTGCTCAGCTGTCTGGGCGATCTGTGGCAGGCCCTGGAGGCGGTGAGTGGCCCTGCGGGCAGGTGGGATGGGGGATGGGGAGGCAGAGCGGGGCTGGGGCAGTGGGTGGAGTGGGAGCGGGGGCAGTTTTGGGCACTCGGTCTCTAAAAGGTTCGCCATTATTGCTCTAAATAGAGGTGATCCTTGGTTCCATTTGTTGAGAAAGGCATAGTTTTATTAGAAGTCAAACGTATTGCGTAACCAGAACTGAGAATTGCAGTCCAAAATCCCTAAGTTCAACTTTTTCCTTCCTTAACTGCCTCCATTGCTGACACCCCTTCCATGACCAATCAGGTTCAAGCATGATGTTTTTAGAACAGTCCCTATAAGCATAGGTTGGTATGCAACTGCCTTCTTCTCCCAGCCGGGTGACCTTGAAGCAGCATCTCAGGGAGATACAGAAGTACTTTTGCTTTCCCCCAAGCATGGTAGACTGTCACAAGCAGGCGTATGGGGGTAGCTGAAAGCAAGCAGCTTTCTCGACCTTGACAATTTTAAGGCATGTGGACTTCAACTCCCAGAATTCCACAGCCAGCATTGCTGGCTGTGGAATTCTGGGAGTTGAAGTCCACATGCCTTAAAATTGTCAAGGTTGAAAAACACAGAGGTATAGCATGATTTTCTCCCCCTAGTGAAGGATCTGTTGATTCTGCTATCACAGCGGTTCTCAACCTATGGGTCGCGACCCCATTTGGGGTCGATCGACCATTTCTCGGGGGTTGCCAAACAAGGTGATCCGCCATTTTTCCCCCTTGGGGGGCACCGCCGCGCATGCACGCCGCGCGTGGGGCCGCCGCCGCGCGTGGGGCCGCCGCCGCGCATGGGGCCGCCGCCGTGCATGGGCAGCATTGTGCCGCGCATGGGAGCACCGCCGCGCATGCTTATTCTGTTTTCTAAATGCTGAACGTGGACCATATTCTTAGAACCCCATCCCAAAATCACAAGGCCCTTTCATCTAGAATATTGTTACAGTTTCTTTACTGCCTGCCTCTTGTGGTATTCCTAAGGGTTTCTGAAGAACTGAAGGATGTATTCTTTGAATATGGGCATGTGAACAGCAGTAGATCCTTAGGTTGATGCCACTAATTTAATTTAACTTGCTATATAAGCAGAGAAAGGGCAATGTCCCACTAACTCACTTGCCTTTATTCTACAGTCACCTTCAGTGTCCTACATCAATAATTGAAAACGCTTCTGGTCTTCTCTTGGACTTGCACTGGGGAACACAACCTTGGGAGGAGAGGAACCAGCAAAACAGCTTGTGACAAAACAGGAAAATGATGCTGAAATCATCTTAAAAGGTAAGCAGAAGGGAAGTTTGTTTCCTGCTGGAACGGCTGGGCAAGAGTGGTCGGTGAAGTGAGGAAAAGTCCATCCTCAAAGTTGGTGGGAACCTTTGCTCAGCAAAACCCACCCACCCTCTGGGAAGTGGGGAGTCAGGATTTCTCCAGCACCCTCTCCCTTTCTTTGGAGCGATTGGGATGGGTTGCACATTTGGGTCTGCATTGTGCTTGCCCACTCCTGCCTCCAGAACTGGGAGACTGTCATTGGAAGGAATGACTTGATTGTACAACTGGAGATTTTGCCCCTGTCCTAGAAGTGGCTGTTCTCGTTAGGAGTATGAACAGCATTGCGCTTTGTGCTCAGAGGAAACATGAACCAACAGTAGCAACAAAGGCCGTTTAATTTGGATTGTCTAGTTTGAATCAATTTTCTGAGCTGATAGACTTGAGGGCAATTACCTTTTGCAAAAAGGCACCATCCAGATAGTCCCAAGGCTGCTTTTCCCAAAAGGCGACTGGGCGTTCTTGAGGTTTTTTTTCTTTGAAAACGTTTCGCTTCTCATCCAAGAAACTGAAGAACCTCTTTGGATGAGAAGAGAAATATTTTCAAGGGACAAAAAACTCAAGAAAGTCCAGTCGCCTTTTAGAAAAAGCACCTTTGGGACAACCGTGACCTGGCTGGTGGAGAATCTCCACAGACATAAAGACAATCAAGTACATTTTGGCCTTTCCTTAGGAGGGTCTTGTGAATGCTCAGATTTGGTCTTCTCCAGCTGCCTGTTTAGGTGTCTCAACATGTCAGATTGTTGAGAAACAAAAAGGTTGTTTTTCTTCTTGCAGAACTTGACCAGTTGGAATTTCCTGCAGAGTTTGAGGGAAAAACTGTTTTCAGAACAAAGCAGAACTTGTCTGCCCAAATCTATGTTCTCCTTCCACCTTGGGAGATAGTCATACATTGCCTGCTCTTCCCAAGTGGAGGAGCTTTCAAGATACAGAACATTTTTCTCCCTTTGGCCTGCAGCTTGCTTGGTTAGCAATTTGTGTTGAATTGTACTATTTGCGTTTAAGATGCAGCCGATCCTTCCCCCCCCCCCCTGGTTTCCAGCTGTTCTTTCTTATTACCAGCCATCCTGAATTTTTGAAAGGAGCTATTAAATGCTTTTAAGGATAGTGAAATCTCTCTTGAATTTTCCCCGTATTTTTATTTTTGTATCCTTGGGTAAATGTTGTGCAGATTTTGGTCAGTATTGCTTTGATACAGCTTTGTTTGTGCCCATATGTCCCTTTGCAGTATTTATTGGTTTCAGCTGCTTCTATATTCATCCTGCCAGATCTGCTTACCTTGCTTTGGCAACATGTGCTGGTTGATGCTCGGTGTTTTGGCCAATGTTTCTGGCTTTGTCAAATATTAAGAGCTTTTTTGGAGGGGGTAACATTGTCTCATGAATGGATTGGAGTTGAGAGGCCTCTTTAATTTTTGTTCCTAAGCTGGAAAGGATGAACTAATAAAGCTGAGAAGTCAAGATGTGATTAGCAAAGAAATATAATTAATGAATTGACCCTCTTCTGGTGTGCCATCTGCAGCGTGGATTTTGATACCAAAATATTGTTTTTGTATCTTTGCACGGCATTCTGTTCTACTTATTGTGATGGAAGGAGGAAAATCAAGCGCTCGCTCCCTGGGATTCTATAAATTCAGGCATGAGAGGATATCTCTGCTGTTGCTGGGCAAATAGGCACTTTTCACTTGATGTACTCGGAGCTACAGCAGCCAGTTGTACTTTTTAGTGTGTTTGATTGTAAACTACTCAGGGAGCTCCAGATATTCAACAGTTAAAAAAATAATAAGTTTGGATAAACCAGTTGATTGGAGTTAGCTAAATGGCTGATCATCATCATTCTAGCCATGGTGTATCCACTGCAGGAGGAAGGCCTCTTCTGCATGTTTCCAACCAAGCCGGTCCTGGGCTTTCTTTTGCCAATTGGTCCCACCATACTTGCGGATGTCGTTGTTCCATCTTGTTTTAGGTCTCCTTCATGGATGCTTTTGATCAATTGGGACCCGTTCTATGGCTGCCTTGGTCCACCTGCCCCCCATTTTTCTTGCTATGTGACCAGTTCATTCCCTTTTCAATGCTTTTACTGTTCCGATGGCCTCATATACTTCCGTTTGTTCTCTAATCCACGCGCAGATCTTTCTATCTTGTCCTGTGATGCCGAGCATGTATCTTTCCATGGCTCTTTGCGCCACTCGTAGCTTTTGTATCGATTGTGGGGTTAGCGTTTGAAAGTATATTGAAAGAAGGGCTGATTATTGGGTAATAAACTTTTGATGGTGCATATAAGATAATCAAAAGGGGGCACGATGGCTCGACGGTTAAAGACGCTGAGCTTGTCAGCTGGAAAACTGACAACCCAGGTTTGAGAACAGAGTTCTGTGCCACAGGGTTTGCTCCCGCTCCTTGTCCCAGATCCTGCCCATCTAGCAGTTCGAAAGCATCCAACTGGGAGTAGATTAACAGGAACCACTTCGGTGGGAAGGTAACAGCATCCCGTGCTCTTCTGTGTATAGTCATGCTGGCCACGTGACCACAGATAATGTCTTTCTTTGGACAATGCTGGCTCCCTCAGCTAAGAAACGGACATGAGCACCACCTCTAGAATCGGACACCACTGGACAGGGGAAACCTTTACCTTGCTCTTTACCTTTATAGGATAGTTCTTAACTTAGAAACGTAATTGGGACTGGAAATACAGTTGTAAATCATTACGGTAATAACTTGAGGCATCTATATCAGAGGTCCCCAGCCTTTTGGGCACCAGGGACCGGTTCCGTAGAGAGAGGTTTTTCCACGGACTGGAGAGTGCGTGGTTTTGTGTGCTGCCTGCATCCCATGGATGGGGCTTTCCTTGTTTGTGCAGACTAGTTGCTGGCATGCTGCAGCCCGCTACCGGTCCACGGACCGGGAATTGGGGACCCCTGATCTATATGACCGGAAGTAATTTTATGGCCTTACTTTCACTTTCCGTACCAGCAAAAAAAAAAACAAAAGAATCAGAGTCAACTAAAAAGAAAAATTTAAAATAAAATACTAAACTAAAAAAAAAATCCTTTAAACTGCTCTGTCCGCTTTAAAAATTACTCACCAGAACACTTTAAGCGCGGAGCTGGTAGCGGCGTTTCCTTTTGTCTCCGAAGAGGCAAAAACAGCTGGGAGGCAGAGAAAGCAGGAACTCAGAGGGAACGCTCTTTCTGTCTCCTCAAAAGAAAAATCCAGAGGGGGCTAAGAGGTTCTACCTCTATTCTTGCAATCTCTGCCCCTTCCCTTCGCCCAGGAAGGGGATTCCGAGCCGTGGGCCAGCTGATTTTCACTGCACACCGCGGATCTAACGCCGTCCCAGGAGGACGGCTACAAGGTAGCCGCCATCAACGTCGCTCCCCGGCGGAAGCTCCCCTTTTTTCATGGCAGCCAATAGGTAAATGCTGTGGTCGTTAAGTGAACTGATTCATTTGAATGGGCATTTCTTGTCAGAAACCGGCAAAATACATTGCGAATCAGAGTCACTGGGACTGCCCAGTGCAGCAACCAGTCCACAAGCTGACCCAACTGCAGTGTGGCCTTTTGACAGCAGGGGGCGCAGTGTGACCATTTACAATGGTCATAAAGCCCCTGTTCTGAGGCTGTTATAACTTTGAAGGGTAATAACCAAGTCGTAAGTTGAGAACTACCTGTAGTTAACTTGCAGATTCTCGTTTGTTTGTTCCCAATGTTTACATCCTGTCCGAATCTGCAAGTAACAATAAGATAAAACATGACATGCCAAAATGCACATAAATAGTCCTGTTCAGGGGTCTCCCCTCCTTGCGAGGTTCATAGACTGCGGAGGCTGTGGAGGAGGCAACAGGTCTTCTCAGTGGTGGCCCCCACTCTTTGGAATACCCTTCCTCCAAGGTCTGCATGGCCTCAACTTTGCTTGTGTTTCACAAACATGTTAGAGCCATATTGTCTGCACATGCTTCTGGCCACTATCCGTCCTTGGAGACCTTTGCGTATGGATTGCTAACTTCTTTGTGGGGGGGGGGCAGGTGGAATTTAGCATTTTTTTAGTGGAAACAGACAGACAGGCAATCTGGGCTGAGCATTTGTAGACAGAGGGTACTAGCAACAAGATAGTGCTTCAGCAGCAGCCTTGGGTGCTTGCTACAGTGCACTTCCACTGCAACATCCAGTGAACTAATCTTAGATTAACAGCTACCATCAGAGCCATGCTTGGGGGTGGGGGGGAAGAATGGTTACAGAGGTTTTAAGTAAAACAGGCCTTGCTCCTTGAGCTAGGAATCAAAAAGTGCTGCTTTTAAGGTTTAAAATGCAAAGAATGGCTCACTTGGGCTCTTATACAGCTGCCACAAGCCACAGCTGGTGAGCTCAACCACGTTGATTGCACACACTCAGAAACCCTCCTATTGTACTCACTGTCCATGTGCCAATTAAACTTGCTTTGAAATCTGCTTGTTTCCAACAAAAGGCATTTGCATTCAGGGCTGAAGTGTCCTTTTTCCAGAGCTATATTTTCTGAAGCCTTCTGGCTGAATGGAGACTTCAGAATAGCCTGCTCTGTTCCACCCCCTCCCACTTCCTCCCCATGCCCCCCAAAACATGAACACTTCTTAGTTTTTTTTTTAAAAAAAATAACTTTGTTGATTTTCAAAAGCAGAACATTAAAATGATAAACAGACAAAAGGAGGGTTGAGAAAGAAGATCAAGGAAGAAAGAAGATAGGAGTGCAAAAAGAAAAGAAAAAAGCAAGAAGGATAGAAAATGAATGAATGAATGAATGAATGAATATATGTATCTATGTATCTCAGGATAATGTTGCAGGAGCCAGTCTGGGTCAATCACTGGGACCAAAGGTTTTGTATTCCGAACTTTCGGACGTGTGCTGGAGCCCATCCTCAGAAAACGTCTCTCTAGCAGAGTGTGTGCAGCTATTAAGATTGTTGGACGAGCAGGCACAAA